TTGGATTCCCTATGTCAGAAATGTTCATATGTGCCATAAGGCAGAATATGCCCAAGGAAGTTTAATACTGTGGGAAGCACAGCATGTCCACTAATGTAGAAGAGTGCTGGAGGACTCTCCTACTCTGGCTCCATTTACTGCTATTGCTATGTTCTAACAATTACATTCTTATACAAGTTCATGTTTGAGTCCCTGTGTGAGAGTTTACAGTGGAGACACAAAAAGCTGGCAACAGCTCAGGAATTTGTGTTCACCTGTTTACACGCTCACTATCATATATTTTGGCTTATCTGTAAAAAATTCAGTAGCATGTTGGAAAGCAAGAATGTGAAAGTCACCCTCATTTTCAGCCAGATTGTTTGAACATACAGAGTAATGAGGTTTTGCTATTCTGACTTTGAGGACAATGAGATTTGAAATATGGAACTATTCCTGCTTACTTACTACACAGTACTCCATCTGTCCATCCCACAGAGGTTCTGCTCAGGGCCTTCAGGGCACCAAGGAGCTGTAATTGCACCAATCAGCCCATCTAGGGCTCCAATGAGACCTGTGCCCAGGAATTGTGCTCAAGCCTAGCTGCTCCCCCTGGCACAGGCTTGAGCTGTGTTGAAGACACCTCTCCAACCAGCCCTGTACCCCACCAATGCTCCACTTTGCTCCTGCCTACACTATTGCCAACCTAAATTCTTGCTTACTTTCCCTCACAGAGCTGCCCAAWCCTGCCACTGCCAGACAAGGGTGCTGAAAAATGCTCACCATGGGGATGAATGATATGCAAGGAACAGGGTCTGATTAATAACCTCAATTTGCTAAATATGGACTGCCTTATGCACTCTTATTTTTAGAGCCTGTGTATTCTGATGGATTTTGCAATCAACATAATTGCCTCCGCTAAACTGAATTATATATTAGAGGCTATAGCTTGTGCTTTAGAAGTGACTGATTACCATGAGAGAACAGATTTGCCAATAATTTTAAAGGCCATATTAATTTGTAACATTTCATAATGAAAGATGGTCAGGGATGTTTATAAATGGGTATTTGAACAACAAAGTAGTATTGAAACACACTTCAGTAGCTGTGCAGTGAATACAGTCTACCGGCTTTTGAAAATTCTGTTCAGGCATTCACAAAATGTGAGCAAATCTGAGAGTTTCAAATGAGGCTGCAAAACCAGAGCTGCATAAAGAGGATGTCTTTGTTTTCCCTCTTGCAAGTTTCTAAACTGTTACACCCAAAAAAACCCCATTCTCATGGTTAGCTACCTTTGTTTCCTATTCTTGACTGTTTACTTGCACTTGAAAGCTCCTAAGAAACCTCTATAGATTTTTTTCTTTTGATGAGATCATAGAGGTTATGACAGGTTTCATTCTGGACTCAAGAAACCAGACTGAGTACACCTTATATTACACACACTAGCCCAAAAGACAAAAAAAAAAAA